GGGAGGGAATTGTGGGGTCCCCACGGGCGCCTCAATTCGGCCCTCCCGAGGGGGGGGAGGGGAGCAAGGGGGTGGGGGGATCGGGGCGGGGGGGGAGGGGTCTCGGTTTCATGGGTCTAATGCTTGCCTTTCGGGGAGGGGCCTCAGGAAAGGCGCGCATGCAGCCCTACGTCTTCCCCTCCTCCCCAGAGGCAGCGAGTAGGCCGCGAGTGGAGGACTCGAGCGCCTACACGTTTGTGCGAGTGGCGATGGCAAGGGGCGCTCTCTGGGGGCGGGCGGGCGGGCGGACGGGCGGGCGGGCGGGCGGGCGGGCGGGCGGGCGGGCGGGCGGGCAAAGTATCTGGGAGCGGCGTTCGTAGCAGCAGTTGCGGCGGCAAGTGCGATGTGAACAGTAGAAGTGCTCCGACGGTAGCAGCAGCATGCAGCAGCAGCAGCAGCAGCAGCGGCAGCAGCAGCCTCGCCTCCTGCGGTGTCTAGCTCTTGCAGTCTATCTAGGCGGCCGCGAGGTTAATATACCAAATAATGGTGTCAAAACACCGGGGGGTGGTCGGCGCGCAGGCACCTGAGGGGCTCCCGCCGAGCGCGCATTCCGCTCGGCGTCTACCCCTCCACATCAACACATCCCGCTCGCAGGTGCGCCTCGCCCCCCGACTCCGCCGGCCCCTCGACGCAAGACAACCTTCATCACCGGCAAGATATGCGGGCTTTTGTTTTCGCCGCCCTGCCCGCGTTCGCTGCGGGATTCGGTTCGGTGGCGAAGGCCGAGTGCGCAGAGGTTGCGCCCGCTTTGTGGGCCCAGATTGACTTTGAGGAGTACACGCGCGCGACGTGGTATTCGCAGGCGCAGGAGCCAAACTCGTACCAGACGGTCGATGAGCTCTTCTGCATCACTGCCACGTGAGCGAGCGCGCACCGCCCTCGCCCACACATCCCACCACATCTCACATCTCACCCTCGCCCCTCGCCCCTTGCGCAGGTACAAGCTTGAGGGACTTCAGGTGCCCGGTGGTGGCGCGGGTCCGCCGGCGGGCGTGATGGCTGGCCTTCCGCCGGCGGGCGCTCCTGGTGGGCCCTCCTGGGACGGCCTCGTCATCTCCGTGTACAACCAGGCGAACCAGGGGGCGGTGAACGGGCCGATCGCCAACCCACTGACGATGCCGAACGGTGCCCCCTCCCCGGTCAACCCCATCTGCGCGCGCCTGATTGACCCGCCGACGAACAAGCTTGACC